TTAAACAATTGCTGCCAATGATAATTCTTTACTAACCCTTCTTTAAATTCACCCTAAAGAAATTCCATGCAAGTCTGCTTTAAAGCTGACTTAAAAATTGTGATTTAGTTAGAAGAAACTAAAATGCAAACCAAAAATGTTCAATAACCTTAGGCCACCACCCTAATGATTTGTTTTCATGCTTTTGGAGTTCTACCATGATGGCTCTTCTTGTTTTATGTCTGATATCATTTTGCCACTGGAGCAGTCTGACAGTGGTTGCCGGCTATCGGATCTTGAGTGTATATCCAGATCCATATGTGTTCTCTTCTCACATCATAGGAGTTTGTTGAAGTCAGCAGATCTGCTCGTGGGTAGAATGCAGCAGCTGTAAGATCAAGGCCCGTATTTTTAATTTTCTCATTAATTAGTGTCCCTGTTATTGCAGAAGAACCTTCACATCATTAGTGCAATTACCGCGGCAATGTTTTCGTGCTGTAAAAAAGACAATTCAGAACTGTGACATCTTTTATCTGCCAGATCTCGGTTTGCATTTGTCACAGAAGCGTGGCCCAGCTTTGAGAGAAATTTTCAGGCCAGACCATGGGAGATTTGTGTGGCTGCAAAGCAAAAGCCATGTGAGGACGTAACAGGGTGAGAGCTGGAGCTCAGGATTGTGTTTGCATACACAGATATTTGGGAAGGACAGACAAGTTACGACTCTCAGACGTTGGCCCTCTGTATCAACTATTTCCACTCCAGATAGGAGGATTCTGACAGAGCCTCTCTCTGACTGTAGGCACACAATGGCATGTACAAGTGCTTTTTTCCTAGTGAAAAAAACTTTACCATTAATAACTCGTGTGTTGGAGGAATAGAAGTAGACTGGCTGGGCAGAATTTCCTCCTTTGACTAAAAATACGTTATCTGCAATTCTGTTTTCTTCTGAAAAGCGTCTTTTCTGTACCAATTTTTGAGATGTTGACATTAACCTTAGCTCTAAATATGTCTGTGACTACTTATGAAGGGACTGCTGAGGAGGAGTAGGTGTGTGAGAATCTGGCACTCGTTCATCTCTGAAATGGGAACGGCCAAGAGGCCGGCAGACTATTAATATTTTTGACTTGCCGTGTTTGTTGCAAGAACAGCGAGGGATGTAAAAAGCCCCGTGCCTCCAGGCTCTGGCAGAATAAATGGGAAGAATACTAAAAGCTGCTCTGTTTGTGCTGCTGAGAGCTTGTCCCCTGGACATTCATAGGGCTCTTGTCTCAGCCTTCTCCCGTATGACTGCCGGCTTATTATTTATCATATCATCTGCTTCGTTTTGGGGCAGTTTCTGCGGCTGACACATCACTGTGCATGCTAAGTACCTCTCCTTAACATAAAGCAGGCAGACACAGAGCATCCAGTTTTCTAGCTTAGTTCAAGATGCTGTTTGCTTTGCCTGCTTGCTGAATGTGCTGATTGGTCACTGCTTGGCCTGTGACCAGATATAGATAAGGGTATCTGCTATTTGGGGGAAATTTCCTTGTCGATCCCAAAGAATAAGGCTAAGAGGAGAGAGCAAGCTCCTACCATACAGTAGTCAGCTTGGCAGAGGATAATATATGGCCAGGAGTAGGTATTTTAGCGTCTGATGTGCTTCTGTAATTCTGAAAACTCCTGTTTTTTCAACTGACTGCCATGCAGGGGAAAAGAAACAGATGTTCCCATTTGTCATTTGATGTGGCTCAAAATCATTTACATTTGCTGGCCTAAAATGACACAAAATGTCATTCACCACTTTTTCCATCTCCTTTGGAGTGAGTGACAGATTGCTGTTCAATTGCTGGTACAATGGAAAAGCAGATATTGTGGGGACAGTTTTCACCTAAAGGAAATGCAATCGCCAGTTGCTGCAGTAGTGGAAAGCGAAGGATGACAGACCCTATGGAAGCCAACCAGTGGAAAAGATGTCTTTAGTATTAATGTCATGGGGAAGACTCGAGGGAAATGCACTGGGTCTGACTTTTCTGCCTGGTGAAAAGGAGAGCAGGGGCGAATAAAACTACAGTGGAAAACTGGCTTGCTTCTCTTTTAAAATATGTTTTCGGCTCTTTGAGCATGTGGTACTTTAAGACCTTCCCATTTGCTGTGCACCCAGTTCCAGTGGAAAGCAATGCTTACATAAAGGTTCTTCATCAGTAGAAGACACTCAGTAAGAGACTTATTAGGAAAGTTTATGAAAAAATGGAAAAAACTGTTTGTCAGATGCTTTGGGATTAGCCACTTTTCCACCCAATAGTTTGCTTTCTTACTGTGTGTTCTTATTCCACTCTCCACAGAGATGAAGAGGTTCCCTAGGCCAAGCAGAGCTTACCCTTTCCCTCTGCAAATCACTCACTTCAGAATCACTCACCCACTCTTAACTGTGGTGTTTCCTTTCCTCTAATTGTAGGAGAGTCACTTTGCAGGCTCAACACGTACTTTCACTATGCTGATCAAAATTAATTCCCTTGTCACAGTCCAGTCAGTCTGCTATGCTGGGTCAGAGTACAAGAGGTGAAACTTCTGCTTAAAGTCTTTCACGTTTGGTGGGTTGGTTTTTTTTTTTCTACTCAAAAGGAACAAAATGAAATGTTAGATGGAAAACACGTTAAGAATCTAATACACAGTGCTGTAATTATCTTTCCATTATTCTAGTTTTAAACAGTGAATCTCCGGTGAAATAATAGCCTCAGGATTGACAACATGTTCTGATGAATATATGCATTGTCTGTTAATCTGATGAAGGAGCTCTTTTAAACCTTCTTTGGAGGTACAAGTTCACTTTGAGAAACCAACTTTAAAATAAGGTGTAGCCCTTTGGAAATAACTATGAATGAATCCCCCAAATACCTGATTTTAGCCAAGTAACTCGTGGTTATGCCACTGTAATGGATGTAGCAACAAGTGTCATCTAGAAATGTAGTTTTTCATTCTAAATGCAGTAAGGCAATTGCTGAATTGACTTCCAGTGATATATCCGTAGCTACTATTTTTGCCTGATGTGATTTTCCTGAATATGAAGTTCTTTTGTGCAGAGCAAAACATGTTGGACGTGGCCAAAGTGAAATCCTTTATGTTCTGGCGCCGCTTGTTTAACAGTGATGCAATATTCTCTTTGGATCCGACTTAATGGTAAAGATTTTTCAAGTGTCACTGCACTGTTGTGTTACAGCGTTGTGTTGAACTGAACATAACTTTGCGCAGCTTCCGAGCTAGACAACTTTATCCCTCAGAAACACATCCTGGTGACATAAAGGATTTTTTTCTTCTTTATTAATTGCATGTTGTAAAGCCTGCAAAGTCCCAAACCCGTGTTGTAAAAGGAGAAGGGGGAGAGAAGAATTTGTCTTCTGGCACAACAAACTTTCTGGTCTGCTTGCGGTCCCTGCATTGCGTGTGGACAGGGTGATTTAAAGGGAGGGAGAGAAAAACCCCAGCTGGTTTTGTCAAGCCATTTTGGTCATCCATGAAATGCAATTTTTTACAGGTTAGAGCTCACTTATGTCCTAAGAAATCGCCGTAGCCAGCCAGCCATTGCAGGTGGTTACAGTCGGTGCGGAGAGCGGCAGGCAGGCAGGAGCCCCAGTGCTGGGTGCTGCTCCATCTCCTTGCTCCATCCCCACCTCCGAGAGCCGCTTCACGCGAGCCGATGGGGAATGCTTCTCCACGAGTCCCATCTGCTGGATGCTGCATGTATTGCCTGCTGGAGAAAGCAAGCGTCATACCCCGACCTCTAAGTATGAGCTGAGTGTAGCGTGATGCCAAGAGATGTGTGTTTGCAGCTGAAACACATGCGCTTACTCAGTTTCTCTCCCATCCACCTAATTGCATTTGGGCTACTGCTGTTCTCTTCAGCAGACTCTGTGCTAAGTAAAAGCAAGGAGGCAGCGCAAAGAGCTTCAACTGCGCTGCTTTAGAGAAGCTGCGATCAGAAAAACCCGGGAGCCACAGCAAAAAAATACACTTATCATTATCGAGCCATTTACAGGCTTGGGAATGAATTTCCTTTCTCCCAGTGTACATGCTCAGCAGTCACTTTTCCAAATGCCTCATTAAGGCTGGAGCTCAGCTGCCATGCTGAAAGAGAGGGAGCACAGCCATTGCATCTGAGCCAGCCTGTCTCATGGCAGCCTCTAACGTTGTTAGGAAACTAGAAGAGTGTTCTCCATTGCTGGAAATACAGATTTCCTGATATACTTCTAATTGGGCCAGGCAAAGGTTAAAGGAGCTTGGTGTGGTGTCCATGGACCAGTTTTCCCCAGGGCGTCGCTTCTGGCAGTGGTAACACAGGGTTTGATACCTGCCTTCAGTAAGAGAGCTGGAGGGAAGGAAGTGGGTGATGAATGTGAATGCAAAGTAGCAGAGAAAATTGGGAATGAATGTGAATGTAAAACGGGGGAAAACACATTAAATCCTAGCGATTTGACTGTAGTTTATTTTGCTCTCTCCATTGCAGTCATTTCTGATGCATTTTTCTACTTTATGTTAAGTGGCGTTGAGCCTTTTGCTTTAAAATAAAATTCAGGCAATTCTGTCTCTCCTCTTCTTACCTTCCATAGCTATGTAAGTGGGTTCTGCAATCTGAAACACAGCCACTCCAAGGCTCTTGTGGAAATGTTACTGGAGGAAAATAATCCCAGGGAAAAAAAAAATCTTTAGAAAATGAATAGACTCAGATCAAGCAACATTTTTACTGCCGACAGTGTTAAGGGAAAGCTCTATTTATTTGGTATACAGATATTTCTGATGTGCCTACTAAGGTAATAATCTTTAATCTAACCTCCCTTCCCAGCTGGAAATATGGCAGCTTAAAATTTTGCTGGTTACGTTTGCCATTTGTTCAGTTTACCTTTGCCTCTTTCCCCTTCTCTTGTGGGGCCTTGTTACAAACAAGCAGTTTGTGCTGCGTTGGTGACCATGAATAGTGCTGCTGCTGCTGCTGCTGCTACCAGTAGGAAGATACATCCTAAAGAATTGTGTGGTCTCCCCAATAGGTGGTAACAGCGCAAAGGAGAAGCAAAGTGTTGAAGAAACCGTGGGCCCAAGCCAGGAAGCAGGTGAGTGCCCAGGTCCTTGAAGGGCTTTTGGTTTTGTCCACCTTGGTGAACAACAGCCCTACTCAGTGCTGCTTAAGGAAAATGTTTGTACTTTTCACCAGATTAGCTCAGGGCTTGTGCAGCTCCATTCATTATGAATGAAAGTATTGCAATGCAGGAATGCAGGCTTCTCTCCTTAACCTCCCAGCTCCAGATTCCCCCTTTGAGGTGGACTACCTTTAGCTAATCCTGTAACTAGAGAGAAGTAATCTTCCCTCTCTGCTTGCACCAAAGTAGCACGGAATTGAAGTGGGGGGAAAGGAAATTTGGGGAAGGTCTTTCCTTACTGAATGTTGGGCTTCTTAGGTTTTTCAGGCTATTTTCAGGTTTTAATAAATTGTCTGCACAAGTCTCAGGGGTTATGAAGATTCTAAATCCATACAGAAAGGCATTACATATACTGTGAATGAATGTCAGAGTTCACGAACAGAGGATTTTGCAGATGGCATGCTTATAAATTATATATTACAAGTTAGTAAGTTCAATATTGTAAAATACAATGTCACTCCATGGTCACAATAGATTTTCTTCTTTTTTCTGTTTATGTTTTTAATCTCATCTAACTCTGTTCGTTGCAAAAGACTTAAAATTAAGCACTTTATCAGAAGAGCTGAAGTGACAAGCAAAATGCCTGTAAATCCCCTTCTTTTTTAGGATTTCTTTTTTCAGCATTACATGTAACACAATTCTTTTTTTTTTTTTTCTTCTTTTTTTCCCCTCATAGTAGTGCAGGATGTTACCTTAATTCACAGAGCATGAAGCAGTTTTATTCAGAGCTATTTTTTTAAGCTGACTTGGAGATTGTTATCAAGTGGAAAACTGAGCTGAAGAAGGCCAGCTGGTAAGGGCAGGAGGAAAAATAGAAATCCTGGATTCTTGACTTATCTGGTTTGCTTACTGTACTGTAGCTCTTTCCAGACGAGGAATTCATTTGATGTGGGTCCTTATATGTGCCAGGCAGTGAGCACTGTGTGTGTGGAAGTGCAGTGTTTCTCCCTGTGCTCCACAGGTCAGTCTCCTGCAGCTGTGTGTTTAACAGCTGGTGGTGGCCTCAAGCGCTTGAAGTTCCTCTGTATGTGCCTTCTTTGTTGCCTATTCTTTGGCAAGCAGTGGGTGGTAAAGATATGGGCGTACAGCATAGCACCTTTGGACCAGGAACGTTTATGCTCATCAAGATAAGCATGCTGCATGAGCCAGCAGTGTGCCCTTGTGGCCAAGAAGGCTAGTGGCGCCTTGGAGGGGGGGCATTACAAAGACCAGGGTGATGGAGGTGATCCTCCCCCTCTGCTCTGCCCTGGTGAGGCCACATCTGGAGCAGCTGTGGCCAGTTCTGGGCTCCCCAGTTCAAGAAATACGGGAAACTACTGGAGAGAGCACAGTGGAGGGCTACAGAGATGGTTTGGGGCCTGGAGCATCTCCCATCTGGGGAAAGGCTGAGAGACCTGGGGCTGTTCAGACCATTCAGTCTGCAGAGGAGAAGACTGAGAGGGAATCTTATCAATGCTTGTAAATATCTAAAAGGCAGGAATCAAGAGGCTCTTCTTGTTGGTACCCCAAAATAAGAAAAGAGGCAGCAGGCACAAACTGGAACACAGGTGGTTCTGTTTGAATATGAGGAAAGCCTGTGAGGTGATGGAGCACTGGAACAGGCTGCCCAGAATGATGGTGGATGATCTCCTTCTCTGGAGATACTCAAAACCCACCTGGATGCAGCCTACCACAGGGAACCACAGGGTGGGTTGGGAGTCGGACAAGATGGTCTCCAGAGGTCCCTTCCAACAGCTGCAGTTCTGTGATTCTGTTTTGGTGCTGAAGGAGATGACCATGTTGACTTTCCTGGGTTTTTACCATTGCGGTAGTCGTAAGTTGTTCTGTCTGAATCCAGGCTGTGTTTTTTGACCTTTTCCTAGGCATGGGGATATTTTTGCTCAAGCAGTGTTGAGCTTTTAACTATATCAAGTACTACCTCAGGATTACTCCAGTTGCAGGGATTCACTGAAACCCAGTTGTATTACTATCTGTAGATGCCAAATACATCCTGTTTTATTTGTCTACTCTATTGACTCTGATGAGATGTAAGTTTCCTTGGTATTTTGATTTGCAAAGCTGCTGGATTGAATGAGGTACATTTCCTTTTTCCCTAGAGAAGTAAGGGGAACACGCTTCTCTTAATTATTACTTTGCTACTGTAGGTGTGCTAAATGCATTGTGTTTTCTTCCAAAGCTGTCATTATGACTTTCTATGTTACAAGCTGTCAGGCCTAGTTTATTGGGGAGATATCATGTACACTCCTGTGCTATCTCATATTGGTAGTCATGTCTTGTTACTCTAATGAAGAGTGTCAAAGAAAAGATCCAGACTTATTTAGGTCCCAGATCCAGAACATTTTCTGAACTCATTTTAGGCATGCACCTAAAGATAGCACTGTGCCCACACAAACTGCGTGAATCACTTCCTCAGCCACAGGCACACAGCGTTACAGAAAGAAATGACTTGGATTAACATGAAGCCCTACTGGTTCACCTAGTGATAAGAACAGAGAGGCAGACAATTATCTTGAGTAAGTAATGTTCAGCTGATGAATTGCTCCTGCTTTCAACTGCGGAGACAAAACATCATCAGAAACTTTTAGGGTTGCTGCTTCTGAACCCTTCCTTGTTGGTAGGAAATGAGCTGATTTTTTAAGATACACAGCTGTATGACTGAAGTTGTACGCCCATTTCTAATCATTATAAAGGATAATTGTGAGGAGCAAGCCATTCAAATACTAAAGTTCTAATTTGTATTTTCTAAACCAAAAGGCATAACCTTCATCTGAGTGTGACAAATCACAAATCATTACTTTAATATCATAAAAGAAAGCGTATGAGAAGCAAAAATAAACTGTGCTCTTACATAGTCATTACTTCAAGATTTATATATTCTTATTACAGAGTAGATGAAAAAGCCAATTATAGTGTACAAGGATTGGCCTTGAATAGTTTGGCTATTACAGTGTTGTTGGTTTTTCTAATAATCTGTCCTCTATCCTTTCATCAGTATGCCTCACAATTAACACAAGGAAAACAAAATGGCAGGTGGTTCAGTCCTCTAGCTTCAAGCTAGTTAAAAATACTCAATAACTAGACCAGGTGAAAAAAAGAACAACTAGAGGCAAGTCTTAAGAAAGAAGTGAAAGGCTTAAAATGAAAACAGGTTTCTAAAGGTTTTAAATTGCAAAGATCACTGAGAAGCAGCAGCAGTGAAAAAATACACTATTAAATTCAGTTACTAATTTTTATCTATTAAAGATCACAGTTCTAACAGCACGTGCCCTACCATTAAACAGCTATGCACCACAGATTTTTACAGACTTGCTAAGTTTCAGATCTGATTCAAGAAAGATTCTGTTTTCAGGAAGGCATTTGCATTTAATGATTTTGATTCCAGTGGGGCTATTGGACATGATTAAAGAATGGCTTGTGTTTTTTTTCCCCAAATAAATACATTAAATAAAAAAAAGAAATATCTAAGCAAAGAGAACAGCAGCCTGCCCACAAACTTGGCAGCTGTTCCTCTCTCTATTACGGGATGTTGATGTACAGATTTGATCTGGCAGTATTGCAATGGAAGTTTACCCCTGGCTTAGGGAAGACAGTCAAACCAGTAATGGTCAGGGAGCACAATGAGAATGGATGGAAGCCCAAAAAATCACATTCAAGCATTGTATCATGCTTCCAATAAAGTGTAACACTTGTTTTTTTCCCCTCAGTAAACCAGTTCATCAGTTTGCTAGCTAATGAATAACTTGTCTTTCATTTCCTTGGTTTTTACAGATGAGACAAAACCTTCCGCTGTAGCCAGCCTATCATCATCAGAAGAAGCAAAGCCTAGTGAGGATAAAGGTACGGATTGTAAATTGCATTGCAAAATATCCAAACCCAAGAGGACATCTCACAAAGCCGTATTTTCCTTTGTCTGGAAATTGCTAAAATCACAGTTAAACCGTACAGAAATAGGTACATACTTGGATTTTGATTTACGAAAGTCTTTGTAATAAAACTACTTGGCACCAGCTGTTGTGCTGATGAGAGTTGCCATGAATTCCAACAATTTTCCTTCTTATGGAGGTAATGTTACAGTATCATACGTGACATATCAGAAATAAGCCTGGAGCTTGCACTCGCTGGGATTATTCACGTGTGTAAAGTTGAATGTGCAGATCTATCTCCACAGTGTTAGCTCTCCTATTCAGAGCTCTCCTGATGGGGAAAAAGAAAAACACAATAGCTATAAACACATCAAGAGGAGACAGAAGGAGATGAAGTCGTAATTGAGAAGGAGAAAGTAATGTTTATGTTGTGCAGGCTGTGCTGGGCACTCAGATCATTTAGTTTGTGATAAATATTTAAAAGTGTCACGGGGCCAAATGTTGGGGAGTTTAGGAAACAAGAAAGAGGGATGATCTAATTTAAATGCTTCAAGCTGAGATTTTTCTGATGGAACTGTTGGTTTCCAGATAGGAGCCAGTGCACAGACGTGCTGTTTTTGATACTGTTCCGATATCATGCTATTAATTGCTTGTGCCGCTCTCTGGTTTTTGGCATTTTTGTGTGGGTGCGTCAGGAAAAAGCCTGGGTGATTTATAAAACGTTCGCTACTGGTAATTCAAAACAGGAGTTATGCTATCTGTGATAAATACCGCCTATCAGAAAGATGGGCTAAGGAAGACTAATAGAAAATTTTAATGCGTTTCACTGAGATAACATAATTATTAACATCCATTAACTTATTTATTTTAAAAGATCTAATGTTTAATTCAGTGTCGCTGCTTGACTCTCTTCCCATTTTTCTAGATAAGTGTGACAGGGTGCGAGATCTTGCCATTTTGTTCCAAAGGAACATGCTAGAGAGCCCACATACTTACCTGATTATGAGTTCAAAGCCTGGCACAGGTTGATTTAAGTGCTCTCTCAACTGGTTGATTGATACTGCAGGGAAAAAAGCCCTCAAACCCTTGCCAGAGTGCTGGCTTTTGCTATTGATATCTTCAGATTAAGGTCATAGCAAGGCTAGTTTGAGGCAGGAATAGTAATAGGTTCAGTCCCAGCATAGCTGGTGATTACCTGTCACTCATTTTTCTTTCTTCGCTGACACTTGGCCTTTTTACGTATACTGTATGTATACGATCTCCCATTGTGTGGGTTTTGACGTTTTGTAGTGTGAGGCCTGCAGTGGGTTTTTGGGTTAGGATGTTGTCTGCAGCTTCACCAGAACTCCAAAAATTTCGCTATTGCTTTAAGTGCTTGTTCATTACTACAAAGTCGATGCCTTCTGATAGCTAATCTAATCATTGTTAAACTATTCCTGTTTTTTGGCCCTTTGTACTTAGTTTCCTCTTCTCAGGAAAGCAGCTTTCTTTGTGTTATGCCTTTCCCTTTTCCTTTAATATTCTAAGAGAATCATGTTTTCCCCTCTTCTCTTGAGAGACTGGCAGAAGAAACAGTGCCCTGCGAAATGGACAGGACCATTCTTCGATGCCTTTCTCCTCAAGGATAGGAGGGAAAGCATCTGATAGGGGAAAAGGAGTGAAACAGATCCTCCTCTATATATCTTGTTTGAAAACTCATACTAATAGACAAAAAGAACAGTTGGAAAGAGATCCTGTTTTGGGTTGTATTTGCTAATTAGCTCAGTAAAGGGAGAATATTTTCTCTGAAGGAGCAGTGAGGCATTGGCATAGACTGCCCAGGAAGGGTGGTGGGGTTCCCATCCCTGGAGGTGTTGGAACAAAAAAGGGTGGATTGTGGCACTGAGGGACATGGGTAGTGGGCATGGTGGGGGTGGTTGATGGTCGACTAGGTGATCTTAGTGGTCTTTTTCAGCCTTAATAATTCTACAAATCTAACCAAGATTTTTGAACATTGAAACCACTGCATCTACCAGGCCGTGGTTTGCATTGGGTGTTTTCAGATTTTTGGATTATGATAGCATATGGATTATTATCGCATGAATACTGCTGTTACAAAAAACTTGCTACTTGTTTAGGAAATGGCAATTTTACAAAATTCTGGTGCTTCTGAAAACACCTGCTGCTCCTGAAATAAATTTCAGCCTTCAAATTGTTTGCCCACTGAGTTAACGCAGCTAAAACCTGCCAGGTTCTGGAGTGCACTCTTTTCTGCCGTTTATCTTCAACTTAATGAACTGGATGTGAGGCATTGAAAGAAATTACAGTTTTCCAATTCTTTCACCTAATTACTGGGAAAAGAGATTTATGGCAAAGGAGTACAGGCTATATTCTTCCAAAATGCATGGTTTAAAATAATCAGAACAGGCGGTTTCCAAGCTTGCTGTGGCAGTTCTTCAGCCTTTCTAATGTCAGTTCTGGTGAGTGCCCTGAAATGGCTATTTCAACTCTAACCATCGTCAATTAGTAATTTTTCCACTTTTTTTTCAAATGTATTTCTGGGATCAGAAAATAGTGAACACACTGAAATACTTCTGCATGGTTTTAAAATGTGCTGTTGTTCAAAATGGATTCTGATTCCTATCAGTCTGAAGGTTGAGGCTCCGCATGCCAGCTACAGTGATGATGTTTCTCTGCCTTGGTTAAAATGATTTCTCTGATGACCTTAACCATAGCTCTGAATGGAATTTACCAGAGGCAGACTGTCACTAACAGGGTTCTGCCAGTCACGGTGGCATGGCTCAACACTTCTTGGTAAGGTCCTTTGCACAAAATGGTAGGTTAGGTCTCACACCAACCTGTACTCCAATTCAGGAACGCATTCCCAGTCATGAAGTTCTAATATTTTATTAGTCTAAGCCTCCTTTATCTTTCTTAATTCTTTTTTTTTTTTTTCTTTCAAGGAGAGGAGAAAGTATGAGACCGTAGAAATCTGGTACATGATAAAATCTTCTGAACAGTGCAGGAATAATGCCTTCAGGAACTCTGATTAAAAAATAAAAATCTACTGTGGAATTACATGTCCCACATTCCTGTGAGCACATTTCTCTTCTGTTATCCATAATAGAAGAGATACTGTCCAGAAAAAAAGTTCATGTGGGCCCAGTTTGCGTGCGGCCTTTGAGCAGATGGAGTTTTCTGAGTGCTCTGTCCTCAGGAAAAAAGCAGAATAGTCGTATTATAAGAAGATCAAGATGTCTGAAGTTATGCTGTAGAGGTATCTTCTCCTCGTCTGTGCCAAGTTTCTATCTCCACTGTCTGGAAATACAGCAAAGAAACGTTGTGATTTTACCCTTGAAAACTCACATGCATTTCTATTAGCTGTTGATGGGAGAGCTGACACCTCTCAGCAGCACCTTCACAGTGCTTCATTACTGTGCATGTGGAAGTAGGTCCTTTATGCACAGAGTATTTCAATGCCAAGATGCTCCTCTTTATGTAGTGGAAGTCAGAACAGAGTGATTAAAGTCATTAATGTTTATGCAGCAGATAAAACACATATCAGACAGGCTGCACTCAGCCTAATATGCCTCTCCACACAAGATTGTGCTGGGACTTCCAACTCATTTTAGATGGACTGAGTGCACCTGAGTGTGTATCTCCTCAGATACCCATCCTGCCGACTGCTGCTTACCGTGACTGAGTGGTGGGGCTTTTTGACAGGAAAATGAGGGACAGAAATGGATTGAGCGTAGATAAAGGGTGAACTCCCATTATGTATGTAATCATGGGAAACTTCTTGTGCACAATGCACTGATTTTAATTCATTAGCACTGAGTAAGCACTGAATTTTCGTATGAAGGTCAACTAAATTAAATCATATGCTAATCAATTTTAAAAATAAAGTAGCAATTAATTATTTCCAGGTGTTCACCAAATTCCGTGCTCCTGCAGGAGTGCTGTTAAAGCAAGTCACTGTATTTCTGTGTTCTCTGAAATGGAGTCAGATTCAGACAGCTGGAGGGTTTATGTTGTCAGAAGCAGTATTAGGTATATGCCTGGGCTAGAGATTAGCCCTAAAAATTCACTTTGTGCAGCCCAGAAGCCTGTAAAATGTAATGGCTGTGTAATTTGTGTTTGGCCAGCTGTAGTTCTCACCTTGGAAAAATCTTGACATCAAAAAGATGTAAATGATAGAGAAGGGATAAACTACGAGATATAGAATTTTCCAATTCGGGGTAGCTGTGTAAATCATCATAAATTAGGCATTGATAAGTGAGTGAAACAAATCGACTGTAAGGCCAATGTGTTCAAAAAAAGGTGTTTAAAATCAGCTCTTAAGTATATATTAAGACATCTAAATGAATGACCTGATTTTCAGAAGTGCTGAGCGCTCAGCAGCTACCAATGAAATGTTTTTACTTCACCCTTGGGCTATGATTAGGCCTGGAAAATTTCAGCCTGAAAAATTTCAATTATGGGTAAGTGAAAAAGAGCCTTTTTAAATAGAAGAGTTTCAACACCCCCAAATGTAGCTGTGCCTCTGCATGCCAGCTATGGAGATAACATTTTTCTCTCCCTTGATTGGGATGATATCTATGGAAACAAATAGCACAGGCTAAATGGTGTGGTTTGGTTTTTGTTTTCAATCACCAGCATCCAACCAAACTCCTCTTCTCTTAGCACCCTCCAGAATGGAGGGTTTGAATTGAACGTGATGCAATTTTTTTTCTCTTTTTTAATTTCACCAATCCGTAGCATTGTGTCTTCAGACCATAAACTACTGAGGAGATATTTCTGCTCTAACATTCCCTGTGCAGGCAGCCGCAACAGCTGACACTAATCTCCTTAGCTGGTTTATTTAAATCCTACTTATTTTTAAATATTAGCTGACCTGAAGCCATCCAGCTGTGCTCCCATCAGCCTGATGGGAGCACCTATTCCTCCCATCCTCTCCCTCCTACCTTCAGCTTCTCCTGGGAAGGGTCCAATCAAGGCAGCCTGGATTTTCTCAGCTTTTTCCTTTCCCAGTGCTCTGTGCAGCAGGCCCTGCCATGCAGCAGGGTGCCCACGGTTATCAGACCAGCTGGGCCTGGTCTCTCTCTTGTGGGCAGAAGGTGAGGTCAGAGGAGATGTCCTTCCTGCAGCTCGAAGCAGGAGCGAGTGGGAGCGATGTACCTTGAACCCCACCTGTGGAGATGAACCGCTCCATCACCTGAACACTTGGGAAAATTGCTCTACAGGTTGTTGCTCCTAAAAAGGTCTGTTTTACCAAGGCCGTATAAACTCGGGCTCAAATAAATCTAATCTGTCATAAAGATAGATTAAAATGAAATCTTAGTGGATATAAAAATAACATTTTAAAGTCAAAGCTCAAGAATATCTCCCTCACTTCTTATAAATCACAGTTTTATAGTACTTCATTTTAACACATTTTCTTCGGTTTATGAGGCAAAAGAATGCCCTAATCATGCGGCAGCCTCCATGCACACCATTACCTGTAATTTTAGACGCCTGCTTGATTTCTTTCACTCTGGAAATATTCCAGTCATTTTTCACAGTATCATGCTTAAAAAATAAAATGCACTGAACCTGTTTCTTTCATAATGGCCAGCTTTCTCCCTCTTTAATCTTCTTACCGCTCCCTAAAATGTGGTGATTTATCTGTGCTGTGCGCAGGACCCAGGTGTGTTGCACATTAGAAACGACTCAGTAAATAAGCTGTACAGAGAGTAGCTGGGGAAGTGAATTTTAAGAGATCATTAAAACCGTTTAACATTCAGATCTTACCGTTTTTCCTCTTCTGAGCATTTGCAAAATTTTCTTTGAGCAGTGTTGCTTTGTACAGTAAAAAAAATACAAACTATGAATGACAAGGAAAAGCATTGGGTTTCATGCAGTATTTAGGCAAAATAGCGTCTGATTATTGGCAGGAAGGGTAGGATTGCTAGTTTATTGCAAGCTACACCATTTTCTTGGAGTTGAATTCAACATAGAGTTGGTATATTGGAACGGAGTGTACTAGATGTGATGAGAATGTGACCTACTTCAAGTTCAGATATGTTCTCCATTGGTTTTGAAGGTTGGGTTTAATTCCCAAGTCCGTTTAGCCACGCAACCCCACAGTACAACTGTTTGTATACAAGGGAGAAGTGCAGAGCAGGCTGGGGCAGCGTGTGTGCTCCTGATGTGGACACCTTCACTGTAGCCACTGTATAAATACAGCTTTGATGAAATCAGAGGGTCACTCCTTGAACAAGCACTCTGGTACTTTATGTGCAGTCAGTGAAAGTGGCTAATCTTTGATTCATTTATGTCAGCAAATGTCATGTTCGTTCTGTTCTCGTGTGAGCAATGATGACATTAGGAACAAGCTACAGTGTCGTATGAGGAACACCGATTGCTTTCAGTCCTGGTTGGCAGAATACTAACCCTTACAGCTCTGATGTGTCAATACCCAAAGCAAATGGTGCCCAGCATCTGTTATCGAAAGATCTGTAAGCATACCTTGTTGTGAAATCATATCCTGACTTGGATTCCCTACTACAACTTGACAGATGAGTAGCTGTGTTAGGAGACAACTGACGTTGCTTTATGCTATTTAAAAATCAGACTTAGTTCCCCAGGCATTTGGTGATGGATGAAGGCTGTGGGGATGTCCAGAGCATATGCAGACCTGGAATCATTTAGGACTATCATCCTGGCTTATGCCCAGTTCTGTATGGCTCTAAAGGGCTAAGTCAGCATAGAGGACCAGCTGTTCCAGAGGAATACCTCTACCCTACTGATGTCTTGGAGATAGAAAGTTGTATATGCTCAGCATTAGTGGGATTCCCACCACTGCTTGCCAACTGAAATGGATGCTGCGCTCCTGTTTCATATCCAATTTGGGAGCAGCTTTTATTTACCTGCACATTTAGTTTTATGTTTTTATTCGTGCCTGGCTGAGATTTTCTTCATAAATCTGGATTTCTTCCTTCGCCTTGTTTTATTCTTGTAAATCCTAAAAGTAAATCCATCTTAGGGCCTTTGGGCTTGAATGTTTGATCTAGTATTAGCATTTGAAAAGAAGAAATCTTTGATACGATCTTGACCTTAAAGATTTTGAAGCTCAGAATCTACATGCTAATGCAAGGGCCGATCTCTGCTGCTGAGGTAGGAACAGGAGGCTTCATTTCAGAGAGGCAGCAACTCCTGTTCGTGTTCTGCTCTTTTCAGAAGCACGCTTGACAAAAAAATAATATGGGCAAAATGAATGTTTTGTATTGCCTGGAATAATTTTGAATCCTGTGCAACTAAATTGCTTTCTCGAACCCTGGAACAATTAGAAAACTGTTTAAATCCAAAACGAAAGCTTACCACCAACTTACAGCCTCCTAAGAATAAAATGCATGCAGACAGGTGTGGGAACATCTGAAGATGTGTCCAATGGCATAGGTGGTCTCTGGCTGAGTGCAGTGACATAGGGTGGAAATGCAGGGAGCTCCTCATGCTGCCCAGTGAGTATAGTTTGCCATGAGCTACACGATGCTTCCCAACAAACAACAGTGATTGGGGAACTTGTATCTGTGAAGCACAGGGCTCCTTAAGCTCCATTTGTTATTATTGACCAAAGCGTGTAATTGTTCCTCTGATGCTGTGGATTGATTTTTGCATGAAATTGGAGCCATTCCTCATTCTGGGAGAAAAGGTGGCACCTGTGGACTGAGGTTAAAGGCACAGGTCTGGCAGTATGAAGTACTGTGCAATCAATGTAAGATGAAATAATTTTAAGGACCTTGTGGGACAGACAGCTGTGCATCCCTCCCACCCAAAGCAGGTAATATCACACTTAGTTATCACTTTTGGCTATTGGGAGGGCCCTGGCTGGGGCGCTTAAGACAGGAGACTTCTGATTCCAGCTTTGTCAGCACACTACCATTTACAAACATTCAAATAAATGATTATAGTAATTCTGAATATGAACTGCGAATGCTGCAGACTTTGACTTGCTAGTTATCCTGAAGACTTTGTCAAAGGCATCAGTGAAACCAGAATGTCAATGGGTTTAAAGTTTGTCCTAGACGTTGACAAACTCCCTTCAGATTTTTAGTGCCATTCTCACGGAAAACCAAGAGGTCCTTCAACTCATTTATTGACTTGCAATTTGATGAGATTCTAATTGATTTTTGCTCTAATTCAGGCTGGTACAGTAATCCCTTGCAACTCACAGCACACTGGGACATTCTAGTATGAAAGTCCAGCACAGTTGATAGCAGTAAGGAGCATTTTAAGTCCACAATAGGGTGAAAAAAATGTGCAGCAAGAGCAAATTTTAGCAACTTGTACATCAGTGAGATATTCTACTTTCAAACTTGGATTTATAAACTTATTGTCATGCCATGAAAGAGGTAGGAAGCTGTGCAGGTAATTAAATATTTGCCTTGGGGGATTATTTGCAGTTAATTAAAGGCACACACTTTCAGTGCATACCTTTTCTACAGATTATTAAATTTGGATCAGATGTTAACAACCCAGCTTTCCCACTTACCCATTGGAGATTTTTCTTGGCAAGTTTCAGGAACAGAGTTTTACCAGAGCATCCTTTGGTGTTACATATTGTAAGATTCTTTCTGCTGCATTATAGAAAGAGACGATCTAGAAATAGAGCCATAACAAGCCTGTCATTGAGTAACTTACTGTCATACGCTGTAGATCTTTGCACTTCATACATCACTAAGGAGTGGCTGTTGTCACAAAATGTTGTTTGACACAACAGAAATAATGTACTGTGTTTATGAGGACCACAGATAGCTTAGGGATTGGATTTATAATGTCTAGTTTAAAGCTTACTGTGCCACTGGTTCAGGATTTGGCTTCGGGCAGTTCATTTTGTTGGACTTCCCAGAAGCAAAAGGAGTTTTGGCCACGGCAGTGATCTTGGGAATTCTGTCATTTGGTGCAATGAGGCTGGGATTTGCACTGGGATTTAAGACTCAATGTTTGTCAACCTTGTGGAAATCCAACCTTGAAAAGTACTGACATTGTTCTGAAGAGAAAAGAAGTCTATTTATCAAGTAGGTGGTTCATTTTGTTTCTCATAGTGTCTTTGTGACACCCAGTTCATAGAAGTCTTGGTTGTACTTCTCATTTTCAGCAACTCTTTTTTTAAAAGTTTTTTTGTTTTGTTTTATTTTGTTTTCTGCAGGCCAGAAGCTACTCAGTAAGTGGACAGATTCTGAAATCAATTTGAATAATTGAGACCCATGAGAACGTATTTGCAGTGTACAGGGCTGTGGTTAAACAGCTAGAAATGCTGCCTGAGTATCAAAATGCCAAGTACAAATCTCAGGCTGCCAGTGTCTGAGGCAAGAAACAGACTTTTCCAGCCTAAAACCACTGCAGTACATGTGATTGTGTGTTTGCTGTTTCCTCAGACTCTCTGAAAGTCTCCAAAGGCACGAGGGAGAGTGACCCAGCACATCCTGTGGGGTGTGAACAAGATCAAGCCCAAGGTAAAGTTGTCTCTGAAAATTCCTGAAAATACAGGTAATAAACCAGTTGGGAACCTTGATTCTTCCATTTCCAGGCTCCACTGGGTTTTAGCCTGACCTCTGTTGTCTTGGGAAAGCGCTTCCAGCTAGCAGTGTTTCTATGCCAGATCAAGTTTGTGCAGCAATTTCTGGCACTGCTGGCAAAGACGCACATCTCCAAATGCACGGGTTTATAACCACATTGATCCAGAGTGCATAGCATCATTGTTATTGCCTCTTTTTTTTTTTCTTTTTTTCTTTTTCCCTCTGTCATTGTTGTTCTAAAAGCCTGTGGGATTATTCTGTTCCTTCTGATAAGCTGACTGTCAAGCACGGGTGCTTTGCAGCAGCTCCTGTGAGAAACAGTTTGCTGAGGCTGAGCTATGAAAGAATAAAAAAAAAAATTGATTCAGGATCAGTTTTGACCAGGCATTTAACATACTTAACGCTTGAAGCTTAGTAAGTGGTCTTTTCACATATGAAATAATTCTAATGTTGTTCATTTAATAGAAGAAAGCAGTGTGTGGCTGAAGAGTACCATGCTGCCTGTTAGATTCGTGCTGTGCCTGCTGAACCTGCATTGCATGTGCACAGCCCTCGTGCTGATGTCATTTTCAATTTGTCACGTTAACAGGACAACAGGAGGATGCTGTGGAGGAGGAGATGAAAACCGGGGCAGATTCCCAAAGCTCCTGCATGGAAATAGAAGGTACTGCATATGCATAAAGCTAGTTAATGCTCAGATATTACCAATAGCATTTAAATTCCCTTTCCTTCTCAATACCTACTAAAGCTAAACTGTGGAGCTAAATAGTCTTATGGAATCATACAATCATTAAGATTGGAAAAGACCGCTGGATCATCTATCGTACACCCATCCCCAGAAACCCACTGTGCCCCCTGCCCACGTCCCTCAGTGCCACCTCCCCACGGCTCTGGGACACCTTCAGGTGACCCCACTGCTCCCAGGGCAACTGTGCCACTGCCTCACCGCTCTTTGGGGGAGGAAATTATTCCTCACAGCCAACCTGAACTTCCCCTGGCTCAATGCGAGGCCATCCCCTCTCATCCTAACACTGCTACATGGGAGCAGAGGCCAACTCTCAGCTTGCCACAACCTCCTTTCAGGTTGTTGCAGAAAGCAATGAAATCTCCCCTGAGCCTCCCCTTCTCCAGACTAGACAAACCCAGAGCAGGGCAGTAGCTATGGCTTCTCTGTGAGAAAGGCTGAGTTGTTAATGACTGCCATTTTTAGACAGAGAAATGAAAACAGCGTTTCCTGTTCCTCATGACAAGCACTTAGTCCTGTGCATTTGGAGCACAGCACACTCTGACCCCAGTCCAACAAAGAGCTTGGGTATGTGTGTCTCTGGGTTGGTGATGAGTCCTGGTAAAGGCCCATAACTGAAGTCAGGAACGTGGGGCTTTCTGTACTAAATCCCAGAAAGCTCAGCATGTTAGAGGATCAAGGCCTTGCTCTCAAATGCAGCCCCCTGCATTTCTCCAAGATGGTTATTGTGTCTGTCCTCCTGGGGGGAATGATCCTTTTCCAGTGTTTTTAATGATAATCTCTCTAGTATCTGTTAATCCTTTTATGCAGTGTCAGTTCTGAAAAGCCATAGTGTTCATCTTTTTATCAAATTTATTCAGAGCCATTGTTGAACCAAGGAGACACAACAGAAGAAGAGAAACCTTTGATTCCCAGAGCAGAGGAAAAAGAAAAAGAAGGAGGAGGAGTACAAGAAGAAGAAGGAGGTAAGTCTACTAATAAAATAGAATGAGGTAGAGAATTCTGCTAGGCTCACATTCTCCTTTCTGTTGTGAGAAAACATGGAAATAGCACATAAAAGAAATTTCTTATAAAAAGATATTTCTTCCTTATCTTTGGGTGTTGTGTTGGTGTGTTAGACTTGCACTCAAATAGGAAAGTAAGTGCAAGAAAGTGCATAGTCAGATTCCAAAGTGACTTTAAGCACGCTTCATGTTGTTGGCTTTCTGTATTAATGTGCCCAAGGCTGATTAAACAACCCGTTTACGTCCATTTAAGTACTCTCTTGATCATGTTCACTAGAAGCATCGAGAGTATTTACAACAAATGGGCACAAAATGATTTGTGAGACCATTAATAGAGATGTAGCTAGTAATTAACTAAAACTAGTAATTCTAATAAGGAAACCAATATCTGGAGCGGAAGTACAAGGTCTTGCTGAAGCAGTCATTTTTTTTCTGAGGGTAAAGCATTTAAATCCTTACTAATGCCTTTGTAAAGAAACTTGGAAGTTTAATTTTCTGTGTTGGATACTCTTCTGGGAGCCCATTTATAACACACACATGGTTATATAAAAAAGAACACATTATGGAAGTAATTCTAATTGTAAAGTAACTGCAAGTTGATAATTATACAGTCGCCTTCTGTAAAGCATGGAGATGAATTTTACAGTTCCAAATTAAAACCCAGCCATGATTTTTAGTGAAAATTCAAGTCAATACTAACACTGTTGTCCTAATTATGAACTTCTTTTCCCAGCCACATTGACACCAGCTTAATTGCAAACCTGTGTTAGTTTTATTGACGCTTTTCTTTACTGCAAACTCAGGTTAATAGAACCTCTTTGTTCACGTACAGCTGAGGAGCATTTCTGCTGCTTTTTTTTATTGCCAATCCAAGTTGAGACTAATCACATTTCTTTATTATCAGTCATGCTAATAGTATTGGTTTTGTGTTGTATTACTGATGGTGAAAACAGAATTCGTGTAATTCTTACTTCAGATCCAGGTAAATGGTGTTGCTCTACTTCAATTACAAATCCAGGTTATATAATACAAGCTCACTCTGATTGCAAATACCAAAGTCATTATGTTAATTTCCTCCTAATAGAAATTATTTACATTTTATTTTATGTCTCATCAAAAGCAAGTTGGACAAAATGTACTTTCATTATTTGTGCATTTCCTTCTCTTTAATACTTTACTGTCCCCTACAGCTAGATACTGTCATTTAGTTCTCAGTGGAGAGCTTGTATTTCACCATCTGTTCTACCTAGTATTAAAATATGCAACATTAAAGAAAAGGAGGTAATGTCAGAAAAGGGTTGTTCTTGGCACTTTTCCTTTTCCTACCCTTGATTTAAAAGGCTCAAGTGCTAAGTAAGTAAAAGGCTCTTTCCAGACATTGTGGAACATGTTCCTCTACGCGGGCTCAGATATTGCTCCTGAATAAGATGTGTCTGATCCAAAGCTTACTGAATTTCATAGAAAGACTCATTGATTTAAACTCCATAGTAAGAGGGGATGCTGTGCTGAGTCTGTGTGCAGGGTAGTACCACTTTTAAGTCATGGTATAGATACTTTCTTTAGCTTTTTCTGAGCGCGCTGTCTTGGGATCAGGGAAAATAAATTGATGCTTTTTCCTTTTGTGTGAGGAAAAGGAAATTAAGACTTTTCCTTGCAAGTCCTTTTCTCTTATGGGTGTAAGAATGTGTAGGGTACCTTCAGAGCTGGTGGTGTTAGTTGCTTTCCATGTCAGTGGGCACACACTCAGCCATGGGAGGTTTGAAAGTCCACCATGATGCAAAATGGATCTGGACAAAAAGATGAAAAAACAGAAAATCAGCTGAAATTCAAACTGGTAAAACAATGCATATTCCCCAAGGAGAGTCTCCTCTTAATGGGAAGAGATTATGGGGCGTAAACCAGGGATGTACTATGTATCACTATTTCATGTAACCCTTTTTGCATGAACTAATTCAGTTAAATTGTTTTCCAGCAGCATCCACGGTGCATTTGACGTACAATAAAACAGCATTTTTTTTGCCTGAGAACACTTGGAAAAGGGCTAAAGTGGGACTGCAGTTCCCATCAAATAGAAATCCAGTCATAAAACTGGATCATAAGTGTCACAACGGTGGTTTTGATCAGTATTAGACCTGTGTGCCTCGCTGCATGTAGCAGCTACTGGACTATCAGCTACCTGATCTCTCTGTTCTACATCTGGTATTTGCTTTTTGTGTTACCAAGCTAATCCCAGCTTGTGAGGGGTGGCACAGAACTGCCTCTCCCCTCTCTCTGATTCACTGTTAGCCACTGGATAAATGGGAGCCATCTGTGACCTGTGCTGTCTCCAGAACTGGAGCTATGGAAGCCACTAACTGACCAGCAAAGTTCAAGGTCCCCTTTCCAACCCTAAGCTAGATTTCTGCTTAGTTACTGGTAGGGGCTTTGAAGCTAGCTGGAATTTTTTGTCAGTTATCCTTGGAAAGTTTGCCTTGAAAAAATGTCTGTTTCTTGATGGTTTAGCGGTGTGTGTCATTTTTCACAAGCTGTAGGTACGCCTCCAATTTAACTGTGCTCATTTTAATACCAGCTGATGTGTATAGTAGGGGATTTGAGTGCTTGCAGTGTCCTTTTTCTGTAGCTGGTGTGGCTTCACAGCTCCATAGTGTGTATTACCAAGGAGGCGTGAATCCTGTTCTGGGGCACGGGAGCCCAGAGGACTGGAGAATCAAAGTCTTTGCAATTTCACCACTCTTTCCTATTGCCAGAAATATGAAACAAGCCAGATTACCCTGAAGAATGTAACAATGTGAAGCAGTGTGTGTTTCATAAAAACCTGGTGTGGCTTTTTCCAAGATCAGTAATAAAATACAGTGTGTGCCAATTATTCCCTTTTTCCTACTGTAACTTGAAGTTATATATTATTAGGGAGCACCTGAAAAAAAAAAACAAAAAGGACAAGCTAAGATGCCTTTTTTTTTTTTTTTAATATTATTTTCCAACTACTTTAATGCGCCCATTCTAGTTCACAAAAGAATAATGAAAATCTGTGTTTGTTATAAGATTAGGGAATATTCACAAATCCCTTTATTAAAAAGCAGGATAAGTGGTGATCACTGACCTATTTTCTGACTAGGGAGGTGTACATGTTTTTCATATGCCACTTGGCTGCCCCTTTATCCGTATGCATAGAAATAGTCTTGTTACGTTGTAATGACCGTGCATTCAGTTTCAAACAGATCAGTCTTTCTACAGGACAGCATACAGCATGTGTGAATACACAGGCATGTCCTACTCTAAGCCTGCTGTCCCCCCCATCATTTTCATTTCCATCTTCTTTCTGTCTTCCTACATAAAGTCATTGGATGTGATAGTTTCTCTCACTCGTCATCTGCTGAAGTTGCTGAACTCTTTGGAGGACAGGTTTTCCATCAGAGAATAATAACAGAAATAGCCATTAATTTTATTAATTTTCTTCTCTGTGATTAGGCTAAAGCGTTTCGTCTTATTGTGCTGCTTCTAACATTATTTGAACTTGACTTGGGATTTCTCTCCACCAGTTTCACCTGTCACTGTGTTCTGAGCACAAAGCACAGCTCCTGGTTTCAAGAAAGTCTTGACAGCTTCATTCTGATCACTGGAGCTGTGTAAGAGATGGTGGGCAAAAGGAAAGGGATGGAATCATTCTGCCACTCCTACATAGCTGTTGTGGCACCTCTGCTGAACCTGTGGCTGGGTGATGGTCTTTCTGGGAAAATAATAGGTTTATTTTCCTTTGGACAAGTCCAGAAGTGCAGGAACAGGTTCTTGGTCAAGTACTATCAAGGAACAAACTACTGTAATGAGAAACTACAGAAAGGGTATTGAAGCATCCAGGGATTTAGCTTACAAGCAAGACCCAGCCTGTTCAACTGGTATTTCTCTGTAGTTGCATCCTGGCCTGTTTGAATGCCACGTTTAAAGAATTATAATAACCATCACACATGAGCTGTGTGATGTTGAAGGATGCTTGTGAATGGACTGTAGGGATTTATTTCTTTCAAATCATTTGCAGTATACATGATTTCCTCTGATGCCAGACTTTTGGTCACTGCCTATTTAAAGTTTGAATTCTGCCTGATTTCCATCCTAGCTGAACCCAGTTTTACTCAAGAATCTTCATCGTGAGAGCGGATGTTACTCTGTAGTTGTCAAGTCATCCATTCTTTGCTTTTAAGGTTTTAAGGGCGTTCATATACCAAAATAGATTATTTCAAAGCATAATCTTGGAGAGATTTAAATATTCCAAAGCTTTGAAAAGAACTCTTCATTTTTTGCAGTTTCATTCTCAGGCATTTGTGATTTGTTGCTGCAGTGGTTGCGTTGGTACAGCTGTAAATATAGTCAAAAGAATTATTTTCTCTGATATGGCATTGTAGTTACAGAGAAACAAGGTACTTCTGGAGGAAGATCTTTCATGACAAATCTGACATCTTTATTCTTGAGTCATGGCAATTGTAACTGCATTTATTTTTTTAACTGAACTTCTCACTTGCAAGTGCAGATGGGTCAGACGTCTTAGGGAAGAAAAGAGATTTAACAAATCTTCTGTACGCATCTTTAGAAGAGATGTTTTCTTTTTGTTTGGGAAGAAAAGCAAACAAATACGTGTGGGAGCATTGTGGCTTCTGAAGAGCTAGTTCAGAGGCTCCAACTCCTTTTATTCAATTCCTCCCCCCCAGAATAGGAGTAAAGTATCCTAATTCAGATACAACATGTTTGGTCTTTGATAACAACCCATGCTGGATGGATCGGATGACATTTTATGGGCTGTTGCAGAATAGTCTTGCCATAAATTTGGAATGTATTTTAACAATATGCTTCCAACATGTATTGATATTTTGCAGAGAAAAATAAAGGTGCACCTCTGGGCCTTTTGCAGAGAAATGCTGGCTGTTCTGTGGAAATAGAAACTTGGAAATTGGTTTTTAAACTCAGATGTC